CCATTTGACCAATTTGACCAGACCAGTTTGACCAACAAATTTTTGGTCGACCAGTAATTTGACCAACCCTGATTATAATGTAGATTATATATAAGGTCCCGATTTCAGTTCTCGTGAGGTTTTCATGGGTCCTAAACATTTTCACTTAGAGTACCCGATCCCGTTTACTTAGTATGTTTTTGAGAAATAGCACTTACGGTGTTCAGCACCATAGGTGCATTTTAGTAAACTTGATATAGTTTAGTGAAGTAATTTAGTAACAAGCCTAGCAACACGAAGTAATGAAGTATGTAAATTTCGAGATTAGAATGTGATGTCACGTTGATTATTATTAAGGTCATTAGAGTCGAATAGTTAATGTGTTTTTTGTACTTCTGTATCTTTATTTTTTGATTCTTTTTTTATTTATTTTTTTTAATCCATGTATGTATTTAATAAAGCTCTTGATTTACAGGATCTTGTTTGTGCTAGGCTTATGGTCTTAGATTCTTAATGTCCAATTTAGTCTTATATAAAATATTTTGTTACAATTTAGCTTCATATAAAAAATCTTACGATTTTTGATTATCGATTAACCAACCATATTTTGCAAATGTCACGAAATGATCTGCAAAATCAGCCAATCATAATAAAAGCCCGCTATGCTAGTAAAACAAAAATTTAGTTTTTAGAATTATCAACCATCTAAACTATGAAATGACTTACATTAGTAATAAAAAACATACGTACTGAAATAAAAATTAAATCAAAAAAAAGCAACATTTGAATGAAGCTTCTTGAATTACAATTATTTTTAGTGAATATATACAAAATCTTATATTAGCTTCTCAAAAAATATTCAACATAATGTACATTTTGTGAAACTCTAAATTAAATTCTTTATTTAGATATCTTTGAAACTGTAACGTTAACAATTAGGTAAAGATCAAATCTCGCAAATCCGCCAAATTGCAAAAAATTTATCGATATCATTATACAAAGGAAATATTTTGGGTCAGAATCCACCTAGAAACTGTTACGGCCTATAACGATAAGCTTTAAATAGCTACGGATATAACAGATAGGCTTTAAATACCTGGTTACGGAATAAACCGTACGTAACAGTTTCTGCATCTCTAAGCCCAACACGTGCATAAAAAAAAAGGAAAGTCGGAAAATACGATAAAGCAACTGCCTTGGGAACTGATTAAAAAGAGACGAGATGAAACTTTACACATTATTGGCGATTATTTATTCATCTAGCCTCAAACCCTAACGCCTAAATTTCTAAATTATTTCAATGAGTTTCTTTTGTTGGTAGGAGCATAGTATTATAAGTAAAATACTTTATCGGGTAATTTTATGACAACGATATCGACAAATATAATTTTAGGAATTTACGTACAATTTTTTTTATCAACAAAAAAAAATAAGCAATAAATAAATAAATGATAAAAACACGGTTGTTTATTATAATTGTCACAAAGTGTATCTACGTAAGATATAAATTTGAGACTAAAAATAAGAAAAGAGAAAACAAAAACCTAATACCAACAATAATACTGCTGCAATTTTGTAAATTTCTAACATTCGATATTCAAAATAAAAATTTCAAGCTAATTAGGAAGAAAAGCGTGTGATGTAATAATACACCCATTCTCAGTTTGTGCATTTTTACAATTTTTGCATTGTTGTTTGCAACCTTCTGTATTCGAATCTTTCCCACATTCTTTACAAATCATACTACAAGGACTTTCATCGACATTATGTTTACAGAGATTATATATACTTTGACATCCTTCACTTGTGTCAGATTGATTGCAACATCCATATTTTTTCTGGCATCCACTATTATTGGGACCATTATCACAGCAACTATACTTCTGGCAACAACCTTCGTTATCGTTTTTGCAGCAAGGATAAACTTTCTTACACCCTTCTGAATTTAATTTGTTTTGACAACAATCCCAGAATCCAGAAATCTTCCAACTAACACCTCCAAAAGTTAAAAGACGAACTGCCCAAGCACCAAAACTACGATCCAATTTATCATCATGAAGTTTACCGGGATGAACACTAGTACATGAATCCGGGTGATAAGCTTTTAACGAACCAGAATGATAATCTTGAAGATTATCTGAGTGTTCATGTATGATTTCCCCGCGGTGAGTATTTTCTGTTTCTCCATGAGAAAACTCAGCTTCCGTATGGCATTCTGGCACTGCCAGCCTTGGATCAGTATATTCGGGACATTTTGAGCATCGGGCTTTTATAAAATTTAATTTTATAGGATGGCTAGGGTGTTCTTCCATTAGTGATTTATACCCTACAAGAATTCTTTCTGGTTCGGATTCTTTAAAAATATGACGTTCGTTTAACTCATCGCTTGATAAGTCTGTCTCACTGATATCACTGTCTGTTGGTAAGCTTTCAAATAATTGAATTGCAAAATCACCAGTTTTTGCAAGCAGGTCATGTTCGCCATTTAATGGTTCTTTATGTTTTTCTTCATACTTTTCTATAGCCACTTTTTTGGCTGCTTCACGAGGGCCATTTTCAATTTTGTCTCCTTTTGTGACAATAATCGTATTGTCCCACACGTTTCCGGTGAAGTTATCTGCTAATGACTCTATAAATTTTGCTTCACGTTCCCACGAAACTGTTGCTCCGTTGTTAGGATCGGTAAACCATAAGATTGTTGTTATATTAGGAATATCTTTATCAAATATTGTACGAAGAATTAAACGTTTAGTTTCATCATCTTTATCGGAATCATCGAATCCAGGGGTATCAATATAAAAGCTCCCATTTCCAATATCATGAACCGTAACTTCATTTACTTTTGAATCAGCTGAAGGTCCAATTATAATATTTTGTGCACCAAAAGCTTTTCCCGTAAAACTTTTTCCAGTTCCTGTCTTTCCGATTGCAAGGATGCATTGCTGCAAGTATATACGCGTAGAATAAGTTAGATATTAAATAAAAAATAGAAACCATTTATCACTTATCAATTTCATATATTTACATTTGTAATAGACATTATTAGTAACGATAAAAAGCAAGCGATAGCAAATTGAGCGTTGTTCAGAACTAAGGCGGTCTATATATATTTGAACCAATGCCAATTATTTGGATTTTTTTTTTTTTTCTTCTTTGATTAGATTTCACGAGTCTATACATGCTAGTCCCGTCACTTCTAGCCGTTAGATATCTAATATAGAAATAATGTCTTAAAAAATGCGCATGCATGATACTCTTAGAAATTATTTCCAAATGAGCACATATTTAACGGCAAATTGAATGGGGCCATTGTTACATTTGATTCTGTTCTAATATAACGAAGTCAGGGAATAGGGTGAACTGAAATCTGCGATTTGCGTATTTGTTCATATATCTCTGGTTTTTTTTTTGTATGTGCACATACGTTTATTATTATGTTAATTGCCCGGAACATAGTGAGGACTCTACTCTTTGAACAAAGTTGAATGCATGTTCATAATGAAATTCATGATTTACGGTCAGTGTAATAAAAAGATGCTACACATGCGGGATTATACTAATGTTATTCTAAATAAAGTTTTACTGCCAAACCTAGTATCTCTATTGAGCTAAAACTATCCTGATTGCCTATTATACTAGGAATCAAAGTCTGATGGGGATCCGAAACGCGGGAACATCAATTCGAGAATTTTATTGGCTGATATTGCATAGGCGTGCATTCGATTTGTTTCATATTTATCGGGTCCTCGCTTCGTTTCGGGCAATAATCGATTTCATCTAATAAGCGTCTTTGTACGTAGCATGATTTAAAATGTTAAATTTTATAACAATTGTGATAGGTTTTGTAGGTCATCATAAAAACTTTTTTCTTCAGAATGATTATGATCATTATAAATTCAACAAATACAAGAAAAGTGATTTACTTGTAGTGCCTACTCTTATTCTGAACTTCAACTAGCCTGACCTTCTTTAATTAAACTATTTTGGACTTAATAGTGTACTACTGAAGCCGCCATCGAGAATGACAAATTTAGCTTATCTCCAATATCTTTTATTCGATATAAGTTGATTGAGGTTTTAGGTTTCCTGCACTGCACTTACGTACGCTGCAACAAGTCTAAACATTTACTTTATATATATACTAACTTATTCAACATAAGCTATAATTGTCATTCTCAAAAACTTTTGTAGTATACACACGAAGAATTACTGCGTATTAAATAAGCATGTACGTACACTTGTTCTTAGCAAGGATAGTAAATGATTTAAAATGATCTAAATGACCTAAATGACTAGTGACTAGTCATTAATCATGGGTCATTTCGAGGCCAAAATGTCATTTAATTGATAATCTAATGTCAATTAAAATTGGTTACCAAATAAAAGTAATTATCGCGGCTGATGCCGAGATTGGCTGATGTAGAGATTTGAGATCTCTGAAATTTACATATAACTTTTATTAAAAATCCTAACCATGAACCCTAACCTAACCCTAAAAAAAAATTTAAACAAACGCGCCCCAAAATTTTTTAAAATTTCATATGTATCAAGATAATGTCATCAGCCGCGACATTAATTTTTAAATAATGATGGTAGCTATATATAAAGGTCAAAATTTTTACCAAGTTAATTAATACTTGTGATTTAAGTGAATTTGTTCGTGCATATATTCTGGAATTTTCATGTAAATTGAATACGTACCTATTTATTAATTCAATTACATAACAATCCCAGCGTCGCCTAGAAAAATTGGCGTCCAGATTATTTTGCCGGCTTACAGTACATGTGATTTTCGGGAACTGATTGCCGGCAAATTATGAATTTTTTATTTACCATAAATTTTGGAACAGCTGGCGATTCGATAAGTTTTTTGATAAACTTTGATTTGAGGCGTGATTAGCATATATACAGTATATATAACGATATTTCATAGTGATAGTATTCTGAACGATATTACATTCAAAATTAAGTCGCCTGAATTCATGTCCATCATGTTAGCAAAGTTTGCCTTTGCCAACCAATAGATCTTAACAAAAGACATAATAAAAGGTTTCAAGTATAAGCTTTCACAATAAATACATTACACAAGTAGGTGCTAATAAAAAAACTATTCGATATGAACAAGAATTTATTGACTGGATTAAAAAAATATATAACACAAGCTATAATTACAAACAACCCAAGATTTATTGATATTTGTCGAAACTACGTTGTAGAGATGGTAAAAAAAACCCCAGCTTTTAAACATTTAAAACAGATGATAATTAATGCCCGAATAGTTAAATTTAGATTTAAATATATTTAAGATCATAATCATCATCTGTATTTAATTATATAATAAAAAAACTTTTGCATCTCACTACATTGAGGTTTATAACTCTGTAATTCATGCAAAGCTTTTCATTCATTAAAGTTTAAAATATTTTATATATCTAAATTTAATAAACATGATCTTTCTGAAATTGCTGGAAGCTTTTCTACACATTCATATCTTCGAAAATGTTTAAGAATTCAACTTGCTAAGGCCTTCCAAATATTGTTCGACAATTTTCCGACAGATATGCTTTGAAAATATTATTAGCAAAGATAAAAATAGTAATATGCATTATATAGCTATTAAATACGTATATTGATCTTGTCGAAATCAATTATAAATGTAATCTGTAATTTAGCAAAGTTATGCACGTTATTACGTATATCGATCATTACTGAATGAGTATAATAAATTGTCTATACTTTATGATGCATAGATTGTAATAAACAAACGTATAAACACAATGCAGTCCTAAACATGACAAACCAAACTAGAAAACTCGAGCTACATGTAATAAAGGATATTTTACGGCATCAGCGAAATGAATTACAGACTCATTTTAATCTTTTTGAAATATTATGTGATGCGGGTGTTGATACATTGCCGTGTAATGATCCATTAGTTAATAGTTTAGTCGACCTTGGGTCTCCCCGGTTCTCGCTGAAAGAAGAAGAGTAGAATGTTCTTGTGGTATGCATTTTTCATTATGCGATAATTTTACACAGGCACTACCACCGTTTTAAACCTTTTAATATTCCGTGAATAGGGCGAAATGAGTTCTATAAAGGGGTTAAGCAAAGGTGCTTTGGTAAGGCAAATATGTGCTAATTTCAAAAGAGGAACGGAATTAAGCAACATTATAGGTTTATGATATTGCCATCTGACAAAGTGACCCACGTGCATTGGGTTGAACAAGAATACGAAAGAGAGCGAGTAGCAAGAAATATAACAGATGATCTTTTGCTAAAGATAAATCGAATATTTTTTCGTCGAGTTTCTGATGAGTCGGAGAATTCCCTTGTTGAAGCAATTGCCCATTTAATCGAGGCTTCTTTGTGCCAGTTGCCACTTGAATACGATGTTGATGTAAGTAGAGGTGAAAAACAAAACATTGCTAGCAAGAACCAGAAGGTGTTAGAAGAAAGTGGCTCACGAGGAGATAAGCTTGATCTGATGATAAGAGCATTTTTAAAACGGAACAGTATGAGGTTGCATATGTTGAAAATGGGAAATGGGATGATCAAAAAATTTCTGATGATCATAACAAGCTTGCGAAACTTGGCTCGTATGGATATAAAAAAATTGTGAAAGGAAGGTTAAAAGAGGTTTATATCGCATTCGGGATTAATATTGCAGGTAATAATATACTTGTTTCATGATTTGTTGTTAGAATTAGTGATTGAACCCGGGTGGGTCAGATATCCGGGTTATGATTATGTCCACCCGGGATAGGCTTGGACGGGTTGACCCGCGGGTCCACCCTAGAGTGTCCAGGATCATGATTCGACATAAGATTCGCATAATTCACCTTACAGCACATAAAATATCCAATTTTAATTCGCATAGTCTGGCATTTTCACCTTCTATTGGTCAATTGGCGTTACACGGAATCTTGTCATAAAGTCGTCAGCCTACATTATACTCTAACGCTGGCCAATTTCGGACCAAACTAGATGTACTCAACAGCCCCGAATTTAGAGTTATTGACTATACCGTTCTAACTTTTTATAGCATTGATAACGATTATATGCCAACTACATTCATGCTTATAATAAACCATTTTTAATAAAAACTTCGAACCTTTAGGTTAGGGGCAGGATCTATCAAAGAAGTTCTTGTATATGACATAGTATTCAAAGATTTAATAAAATTTTTTCTGACCCGGGTTTGACGGGTAATCTTTGTATCCAGGTAGACCTGCCTGTTTACCTGGGTAACCCGCGGGTTACCTGTTGGGTAATTATATTTGTCATGCCTGCATTCTTTAATGTCATATTACCAATAACTAGTTTTTTTTTTTCTTTTTTTTCAACTTTTCTTTTATATACTGTTAGTTTTACATTATTTCCTTTATACATTCTTATAAAAATTGGTTTATTATTGTATACAAAAAATTTTTAGTTTTTATAAGAGTCTGAATAAGATTTTGCATCATTTTTATAAATTTTGTCTAAATTAAACTCTTAATTATTTTTGTATTTATTTTTTCTTTTATCATCTTTGGTTGTTTCCTAATGATTTTTTTAAGTTTTTTTTTTGTTTACTCTTTCTCAAATTTCTTTTGTAAATGTGATTTATATAAAATTAATTGAAATATTCTCTGTCTTTTGTTAACCTCTTCTATAATTATTACATATTGTTAAGTATTCTTGGGGGGTTTTTTTCTTCATTGTATAAAATACAATATAAATTTTTTTTGATATTAAGGTAACCTCTTTGGTCTTTTGACTTTATTATTATTTATTTGAGTAATATGTTTATATAGAACTATTATAGAAAGAGTATACAACTGTTTACATATATAATTTTTTTATATTACTTATTTAAAAAGTTCACCTAAAGGTTCATATTAATGGTTATACCTAACATCTCTGCTTGAGTATTTTATTTTAAACCTTTTGATTTTGCATCTTTATATTAACTTTACTAAGTTATAGAAGTATCTGTTCTTATATCTTTATTTTAATCTTAGAACTAATTTATCTTTAATTTAAACCTTTTAGAGTCTTTTATATTAGTTTTTTGTAATTAAATTCAGACATTGTTGCAATCAAATTTGGACATTGTAGCAATCAAATTTGAACATTTTAGCAATCAAATTTGGACATTATAGCAATCAAATTTAGACATTATAGCAATCAAATTCAGATATCAGTAAAATCAAATTTGATTGTTATGATGTTCAAATTTGATTTTACTAATGTTTGAGTTTGATTGCTACAATGTCTAAATTTGATTACTACAATGTTCAAATTTGATTGCTACAATGTTCAAATTTGATTGTTACAATGTCTGAATTTGATTGCAACAATGTCTAAATTTGATTGCAACAATGTCTGAATTTGGTATACAAAACTGATATTCTTATTTATAGCAGACCTAGTATTGTTATAATCAAAACTAATATCTGTAGTCAGACTAATTATTAAACTGTTATATTTTTGTAAAGTTTATATAAACTTAGTATATTTTTTTTAATCTTATTAATATTTTGTTTATTTTTATAAATTCTCATATATTACTAATTCAATAAGTTCTGCAAAGAGTATAACAATTTAGTAAAGTAAATAAGTTGTTAACTCTTCAAGTGGTAGGTTAGATGTTCAAATTCTATTAATAATAAAAATTTGGATAATTATCTATATAATATTTGTATTATAGTAACTGTTTTTAATGATTGAATTAAAATATTTATAATAGCAGTTATATTAGCATAACTGATAGGTTATAAAACATTTATATAACAGGTTATATGAAGGAATATAAATTAACATCAGGTAATACAAATATTAGATAAGTTTTTATGACTATGTAAATTTGTTGAAATTAAGAAACAAAAAGTTCATTTGAGAAAAACCTGAATAGAGAGATAATACAAATCTTTAATAGTACTACTATAAAGACTAGATCTGGAAAACAAATACCAATATAGAGAAATTAAGCAGACAAAAACTTTAAATAAAAGGTATCATCAACTAGGTTACTAAAAGTTTTAAATTGAAGAAAAAAATTTTAAGAGATGAAACTTCAAAATACCAAAAACAGGTCATAGTCCTTTTAGATTATCTGAATTAAAAGTCTGATACCAAAAGCAAAAGTATATTATAAGTACTAAAGATATGCTAAGAAGTGATACTGGGGTCTAAATGAATTTTGCAAAGATAAGTCCTGTTGATAAGAACTAAAAATAGGTAGTTAGTTAGCAAAAGGATCTTCTGAAGCTTTACAGTTAGATGATATATTCTGAAATATGTAATAGCTTAACAGATATACAAACAGAGAGGTTAGTATTAGGTTAGATAGCATTTAGATATATAAAACTTGTACACTATCTGTTAGATATAGTATAAAGATCAAAGTATTTAATTAGATAATTTTTTAGTAAATTACAGATATAGCAACTAGTGTAGAATTTGCAAGCAAACTACTTAAATAGATAGCCAAAAGCTATATATGTGATTAGTTGTATACTTATCTTGTACAAGTTATATAACTATAATTAAAAATCACAATAAAAACAGTAGCTGCTAATAACCAATAATCTTAATAAAAACAAAAAAAAAAATTAAGTTTCGCAAATATGATTTTATATTCAAATCAATTAGTATTAGATTAATAGATTTTTTTTATCTAAAAATTCTTGTTTGTACAGTTAATTTGTTTTAAATTTTTTTCTTTAGATCAAGATTTTTATAAATAATATTGTTAATGATTATACTATCTTTCTATTCAGGTTTTTTTTAAATATTAAAGTAATTTAAGATTTTATTAATAGTATATTTTCAAATAGTTGTATTATAGCTACAAAAGATAATTATAAAAAGATTATACAATTAGTTACTTATACAATTTTAGTTATTGTCTAATTTAAGTAGTCTGTCTAAAGATTCTACACTAGTTATCATATCTAAAACCTGCTTGTAAGTTTTCTATTTAATATTTTAGTTTCTATATTCACTTATTTATCTATATTTATTAATAATTCTGATTAATACTAATGAAAGTATATCATAGTTACTAAGTTTTTAAAACAGTTTACTCATATAAAAAATTTTTGACCTTGTACTAAACCTTTTAGAATCTTTTATATCTTATTCTTATAACTGATCTGATTATGTTATAATCAAAACTAATATTTGTAGTTAGTGTTTATCATTAAACTGCTATGCACTTGTAGAGTTTATTCCAATCTTAATACTTACTTTACAATATATTTCTATTATTTTGATATTCAATTCAAGTTTTATCAAGCTCTTAGTTCAGATAGCCTAGAAAGATAAATACATTTATACATCTAATTTACATATTCTTTGATATATAGCTTTTTTTTCTATTATCTTTTCAAGATTTTGATAGTTTGACTGATTACAATAATCTTTTTTTTAAAGATCAGCATGTTATCTGACTTTATAAGTTTTAACTTTATTTTTTAAATTTATTCTTTACAATAGCATTACCAAAGTTTGGATTATTTTTTTATTTAGATTTTTCAAATAAACTTCTGTTTTTTTAGTTCTTATAATTTATATAACTACAAGAGCTTCATACTATCTAGTATTAGTTTGTATTTCTTTATATAAAATATAATTATTGTATAAATATTATATAACCTTCTAGTTATACTAGTATAATATAAGTAACAGGTATCTAATCCTAACCAATAGCAAAAGACAGTTAACTATAACATAGAAAAAATTTTAAATTTTTGTTAACACTGAAATTTGAAATTTAGACCTACTATTTAAAAGTTAACAACATGACTATTTTACTATATTATTATGTCTTTTCTCTATTTAGAATTTTCAAACAGAACTTTTTATAAAGTATATATTTTTTAAATTTATTTATATAATCTTATACACTCTTAAAATTAGTTTTAGTACAATTAGAATTACAAAATTATAACTTCAGATACACTATTCAAGTTGTTAAAATAGATCTTTTTTTTAAAATTCTATTGTTAATAAAATTTGAACTCTAAATCTACTGTTTGAAAAATGATTATACTAGAATTATTAATATAATTGATATATATATTTAGTTTTATTTATTTATTTTTTATTAAAACTAATATTTCTAATAACTTTATTCTTTTTAAAAATTTACTTTTTTATTTTTTATTTTTTTTATCTATTATTAATATTCTTTCTAACCTTTTTATTAACTATCACAACTAAGTTATTACTAATTTTGATCTTATTTAATTCTATTCTATTTACAATAATATTAACCAAGATGAAACTATTACTTTTTTATTATATATATTTATTATAATCTACTTATCCTTTATATATACTTAAACTTATCTAATTACAACTTATAATCTTTTTGAACTATTAATTTTAAACTTTAAATATTTAATTCATTATAAAAATAATACTTTGTTTTAATATATATAAATAATATTTTTTGAATTGTTTTATTATAATCTAAGCTCTTATACATATTATTTATAATTAAATTTTTCTATACTATGATCAATATTTAAATCAATCTTTCAAAATTTATTTATTTTTTTTTTTATTTTTTTATTTTATTTTTTAAAGAAAGGTTTATCTTCTATCTCTTTTATTAATTAGTTAATTATATATATATGTATAATATATGATAAAAAAACTATACTAGAGAATATAGAGGTAAAAGCTGCTTTATCTTTGACCTATTCTTTGCTAAAATGGTCAATAAATCTCTAGTTTTTGATAAGCTGATGAAAAGAAGATTGTTTATGCATAACATAGAGTTGTATCTTTTTATTTAATATAGAACATAAGACTGATATAGTTTTAATTAGTGTTAGTAGTTGTACTGAAGATGTAATTGAAATAGCAGATTCATGTTGTATTGCTTTAAAAGTAAACCAAATTTTTTTGTATATTGCTGAAATGATGTTATGATAAATAAAGAGTGCATATTTATGTTTGTGTTTGTTGTTTTCAAATAGTGCTAAAGTATTATTTATTATTATTTCTAGTAGTATTTGTTTGTTAATGTAGTTATAAGTAAAAGTTCAAATAAATTTACTTGTATTATTGCAGTGTAATTCTAACTTGTTTGCAGTTTCAATCAATGTATATTTTATTAGTGTTTTAAGATCTGAATTGTTTCTAAGACATATTAAAAGATGTATAATAGTTTTTAATATATTATAACATCTTATACAAAAATGGTTTAGATGTTTTGTAGCATTTCTCTAATAATAAAAATGATGAATAGATAG